ATATATTTGCCTCCAGACATCTAAAGATAAATTTGATTCGAATAACGGTCGGGATCTGGGACGTTATGGCACAGCTTGCTTCAAATCGGCCGTAGAAGGAAAACAGCCCAAGCAATCAATTGTCCAAATACAGCATCCGTATATCACGAGAACATGATAAATTAGTAGCTGCAGAAGAATCGATTCGGCACCTTATTTTCGTTCAATTTTCGGGAACTATCCACCAGGAGAACGTATAATACTATAAAGCGTTTTGCTAAGCACAAAAGTACTGTTTGAACGCTCTTCATTAAACGTTCGAGAACACCTGGCACGTATTAACAGAAAAATTACCAAACTTTTATCTTGGTCGTAATTTGGGCTCGATTAAACATTTGACATACGAAACAAATTTATTTGACATAAATCAATCAGATCAGATCTGAAAGAAAAATAGACACTTAGGGCCAGAAGACAACCACTCCGCAACAAGCGATCGATAGAACAAATTAATTAAATGAAATCTTAATTACCTTAAACAGAACGTACAAACATAATAACTAACTGATGTTTCTTCTGGAACTTTACTTCTTTACTTGCACTTAAATTTCGTGTTTGTTTGAATTACAGGTGTAAAATTTGCTCTTTGATGGCGGAAAAACTCCTTGTAACAGGTACTGAGAAAGGCTTCACATAAGCCAAAAAACGCTCGAAAAACACAACACTCCGAATAACTTTTTCGTAAGCGTAGACAAACGCTTCAGATCGACCCGAATTTGCGTTCACTTTTAAATGACGCAATAAAACATCTTTAAACAGCCCTCTATCCACCAAAAAAATGCAACGATTTACGTTCGTCTTCTACTTAAAACAATTTCCATTTCCGTTCGACTTGCAACGGCGTCTTCGAATAAATTAAACGCCTACGGCAAAAAACATCTCCGATAACACGTGCTTATTTTGAAACTAATTCACTTGCGCTGCGTTCTTATCGCAATGACCGGAAATAACAAAAGTTTACAAAATATTACACGCAAATCTATCTGAATAATAAAATAAACAAATTAAAAGGTGATGATTATTTAAACAAAGTTACACATAATTGTAAATAATTTTAAATACAATCAACAATGACTTCAAATTAGAATGATCGTGTTCATTCTTAATTAGCGACCAACATTTAAAATCAAAAATAAATGAAAATAAACACATACAGGGTGACCCAACATTACGGTAGGTATTGATACCAAATAAATCCGCATTACGTAGTTTACGCAACAGTATGGGCGGATATTTTTAAGGCGTTTTGGTAGCCGCTGATTCTGCTCATCGTCTCAACACTTTATTTTCCTTAAAGTTTCAAAAACGTGGGTCGCAAGAAAATATAATAAGAGAAGAGGTTTTTATAATCGTTTTGCAGCTACTTTTTTTAAAATTTAGTCTACTACGAGAAATCAAGAGGATTCATCTCAAACTCAGGCGTATTTTTCAACAGTATTTCTTTTAAACATATACAGGGTGTTACAGTATTTAAAAAAAATTGAGTGGTAGAGTCTGGGAGCAGGGGCGGACTGGCCAGTGGGGCGATCGGGTGATTTCCCGATGGGCCGGTGTAAAATGCAGACTAGTGGGCTGTGTTATATTGATCGATTTATTTGAAATCATTATTTTCTGTCTAAAAAATTAGTACTTAGGTGCATTGTGCTCATGAATGCTTCTTGCTGGTAGTTTCAATCTGGAAAAATAAGAGTGCGTTTCATTAACGATCCTCGAGATCGTTTATA